GTCCCGGGAATTGCATCGTCAGTACCGGAACTAGATAAAGGATTAGATTATCGGGAATACCCGGGAAAAATGAGTACCGGGATTTCCCGGGAGCAAACTCTACTAAGCTGCTATGTTTAAAACTACTTGTTGACCGATTGTTCCTGGGCGGGCTGCGCCCTTTTGCTCAACTGGCATCCGCAGAATACCAGTGGTCGTCGTGACGCGCTCTCTGCCATCGCTTATACTGAGCAGATGCCATTTTGGTGCTTGTAGCCGTTCTGTTGTCTAGCTTTAGTTGTTTTTTTTATCCACAACGAGGAAGCTCTTGGCCTGTATCTCACCTGATGGTAAATGACGATCAGGCCGAAGGTGGAAGCGAGCTTCACCCGGAATCCTTAACCACGGAGGAACTGGCTATCTTACCTCTAACAATAATGCTGTTAACATTGTTGTTATGGCGACAGACTTAGTCAAGATGGTGGTAGCTAGCCAGGCGGACTTAGAACAAGCCCTACCACCAACCAAACCGAACAGAAAAATCTGCCCCCACTGGCAATCGAACCCGGGACCTCTGCGCCTGAAGCAGGTGGTTTTACCACTAGACCACAGAGGCGGTTGTTATTTTGTTGTGTACTTGCACCGAATAAATACTTTTTCTTTCTTTCTAAAAATAAATATTGTTTGTGTTGCTTGTCAAAACAACAAGTCCCAGTTGCGTTGTGGCCTGCATTGCAGCCATACGTGTCATAATTGGCAGCGTCCCACTTTGGCACGGTTCGCTCCGTTTTGCAACGGGACATCTGCACTTCTTATCGCTGGGAGTCGGTTGAGAGGTGTATGTCAGTCGTAAAACTGTTTACCGGTTGGTGTTAATGTCATTTAGTACCTACTTTATTTTTCAATGAAATTGTGATAATACCATTTTTACGTGACTGAGTTTATTGCGGCGCTTCTTCTAAGCACTTGCCAAATGTTTGTCGCGAAGCGCTGATAGGGCAAAAAAAGAATGAGACATGTAAAGACTCCTTAAAAGCATTTACTGGACGTTAAGCATGGTCTTCTTTTTTTATTCAGCCACTGCCATTCCTTCAGCTTGTTCTTGAGTCCGTCTTTCAACAATCACGCAGGGGGGAGGGAGAACCTCCACAATTCTTGTCAAATCGTGGTCTCCATTCGAGAATCTGTTTACTTCACTTTTAATCATGTAGACAATAGGCTACTTGAATAACTTGTCATGATCATTTTTGAGCTCTGATATTACTGACTGACAAATTGTGATATTTGGAAAAGAAACTGCTATTGCTGCCTTAAATATTTAAAAAATCAAATCTTGCGTGTGTCACCACAAAATGAGTAAACTCCAAGCATCAGCTAGTATTGAAGCAGGTGACAGTCGAGTTTATAAACAGTCATGAGTGTTAGATAACCGGTTGGTACAGTGATTCATCGTTAAACACGGTAAGGCGTGCTCTGATGAGAAGGCAAAAATTACAACTACACACTTTTCATTAATCCGCTGCCGTAATTAAATTGATGTAACCATAAAAGTGGAGAGAATCATTTCTTTGACAACGTAATCTTTATAAACCATGTACTTGACACCAGATCAATGAGTGGTTAGGTTTATTTCAAGGCAGACGCTCACTGATTTATGGGCGATTCTCTGTAAGCTCGTAATCGGCTGTCCCGGCCGATTTTTTCTAAAAGCAATTAAAATATTTAAACGAAACACACTCGTAATGAAACTTTAATCCCAAAACTTTACGGGCCCTTTGTTTTTAGAACCATAACTATTTTTAGTTTTTTTCTAGACTCGATTGAAGCCCGAAAAATACAGTCCCCTGGCTGTCCCCATCACTACATTTCCGCCTAGAAATGAGATTTACGAAGAAGATATTGAAACTACATACATCTGGCAGCTCATAGCATAAAGAATAATAATAAAATTATATTATTTTCGTAAAACAAGCTCTCATTACCAATTTTATTTATTTAGTAAACTCCTGTAAACTTTGTCCCCAAAATTTTAATACAGTCCCCTGCCAAAAATTTAAATTCATAATATAAAAAAACTATAATAGCTACGATGTTGTTTTTGAGTGAAATGAAATGCAATTGCTATAAAATAGGCAACCTTGCCGAATGCGGCGTTGAGATGCCTATTTTTTTAGTGTCAGAGCGTCATTTGTGAGGTGAACACGCGCTTGAATCGCCACCACACACAGTCCTCTGGTAAGTCATAATATGCATGTTAATTACTTAATAATCTCTAAATAAAGTATAAATTGATATAATATTTATGTCTCAATTGATCGGTAGATTCTTAAAACACTATTTAACATCATTTTCGTAAATATTGTGAAATCTAGCCGAAATACACAGTCCCCTGGCAACAGTCCTCTGCCTGAAATTGCACAAATATGAGCATCAGGTCGCAAGTATTCATTCCTGGTCCATCCTCGGCTTTCCAAATAAATATAAAACACTAACAATGAGGCAGCAAGGTTCTGGAGTAGAGGCCATGTACCGGAAAACGCAGCGAGAGACAAGCGACACCGAGCCACCTTGTGGGTGGACCGACGACCTCATAAAGGTAGCAGGAAGGCGTTGGATGCAGGCCGCTCTACCAACTGTGCGATGTGGAAGTCATTGGGGGAGGGCGGGAGGCCTATGTTCACCAGTGGACGTCCAGTGCTGAAATGATGTTGATGACTAACAATAAAAAGTGTCAGTTGCTTTTGCAACAGTGGTTCTTGTGAGCATTATAACGGAAAATCTTTAATCTGCTGAACCTGAATTGACCAAAAATTCCCCTCAAAGATTTGATGATGAAATAGCAGGAACGGGTGGTACTCGGAATTCAGTGCCTCAGAGGTTAAGGTAAATTTTTGATATGAATATTTATTAAGGAAAGTTGTTATTTCTGTTAATATTTTATAAAGACATTTTGTTTACTATTGATTTGCTATAAAATAATAAATAATTGATCAATTTAAAATGACTTTTTCTTAAAGTATAACAGTCCTCTGTCTCAATTAACAGTCCCCTGTCATGATTTCTTGGAAAATCGCTAATAACTCGGAAAATATTAATAATTTCAGTGGGACTCCTTATCTAACTAAAATAATAGTCAATTTTCTTTGAAATGGATCACTGTTTTTTGGAAAATGTTAAAAATAATTGCCAGGACAGCATTTGTATGGGACCTGTACGAGCTTACAGAGAAATGCCCTTATACAACAGAAAATAATTGATTGTTAGGCTCTCAAGTAATCTTATGAACTGTAGGCAAAGTTCTTCAGTAACGAGCCACCCAGTTTGAATGGCTTTTCCAAATTCCAATGTTGATCATCACATAAGCCCATGTCAAATATTGTGAAGATCAAGACTGAATGTTGATGAGAAAAACATGTAACAACATTATAGGAACTTTCTAAGCGAATTTTACACACCAAGTGGAGAACCTTAGAGTCCCCGCAGACACCAGACTTTTATCGGCTGATAGGTCGGCTTCTAATTTGGATAAGAATTCTTTCAATACCAAATCGTTCATACCAAATACATAACAGCCCGACTAAATTTTAGGTCGGCAAAAAGTCTGCAGTTTGCGGGGAGTCTTAGAAACCGGTCAAGTGTGCAAACACGATAAGCGGCCGAGTTGTAGAGCCGAATGTGCTAGAATGTTCGAGATCAAATAAAACAAGACGAATCGTTTTGAATCACTGGCTTTGGGAATTACCGTGATTAATGTACCAATACTACCAATATTGAATAGAGATGAACAAGCATTACTGTGCTTAGTAAAATTAGTTCGGATTCTGAGAAATTCTGGTAGATTATATTGTTTTAAACTCAACAATACCTTATCGACATCGACCTTACCTCTAATTCGAAAATGTTCAATATCAATATTAACAAGATGTTGTGAGCCGCTTATTTAGTGCGCCATCATATCGTAATCTAAATCTATGTGCCTATTCTATACCCATTAATAAAACTAATTGACTTGAACTTCAATTTTGCAGCAGAGGTCATCACGGGTTTGATCTTGCAATACAAACATGTTACATGAACTATTTGTATTGGATTGTAGCAATAACCAATATTGTATTCAGTAAATTTTATTCCGTTAAATATCTGATATTGTGTTACTATGTTTGTTGAACCAATAAATTTTATGTGACAGGAGGCAAACGAGCAGACGGATCACCTGATGGTAAGTATTTTTCTTCCTTTCTTTCTTTCTTTTTCTTATTTGACTAGTTTCCATATTACAGACGACGGCGGCACATAAAGCCAAGGAGAGTAGCATCTTTATGTGAATGTTTTTTTTATTTTTTTTTATGCATAACAAGGCAAGTATTTGACCACAATCGCACCTGATGTGAATGTAATATTTTACAACAGAAATGTGTAGTGTGATGTACGGTTGACTCTAAATGAACTTTACTTATTTTGGGGCTTAATGATGTGCAAAATGTTCAAGGACACGCCTTTTGGTTTTTTAGTAGACAACGCTGCAACGCGCGCGATGGAATTTTTTTTTTCTTTTTTTTTATGTGACAGGAGGCAAACGATTTTCTTTTCAATTTATTTGCATCTTTATTTATTTCAGGAATAGGAACATAATGGAAAAATTGGGGGAAGCCTAATGTTCAGTCAGCGGTGAACGTCCTATGGCTGAAATGATGATGAATGGAAAACTTTGAAATTATATTATTACTAGCTTTCCGCCCGCAGCTTCGCCCGCGTGGAATTCTCTGTCACAGAAAAACTTTATCGCACGCGTCCCTGTTTCAAAAACCGGGATAAAAACTATCCTATGTTCTTTCCCGGGACTCAAACTATCTCTATGCCAAATTTCATCAAAATCGGTTGCGAGGTTTAAGCGGGAAAGCGTAACAGACAGACAGACAGACAGACAGACAGACAGACAGACAGAGTTACTTTCGCATTTATAATATTAGTTGGGATGCCATTTTACTTGTTTTTTTTAGAGATAGAGGTACATAACATACCATTATGATGAGTCGATGGACGATCTGCCTCGCTTCTCCGCCTGAAAAAGGCAAAGGAACAACGTTGTAAAGTTGATCGTGTGTATGTAGTGTGTTGAGTATGAGTAGGGAAACGGGCAGTCACAACAAATATTAATTTCATACTGATTTATTACAAGTCAAGTACAATGTTGCAATAAAATAAAGTAGGTCATCATACCTAAGTTCATTGACAGCTAGACGCTACATTACTCTCCCCCTTTGGGAAAAAAATGAGATGTCATTTTTACACAATAATGCTTAACTACTGTATAGTATAATCGTTATCATGTTGTTTATCTAAAATGTATTTAATAAAATTTTAAAAACTTTGTATACATAATTTTATGAGTTATAAAATCAAAATTAAACAATTTAATTTAAAAATAATTATTCCTGGTAAAAGAAAACATGTTCACATTAAACTAGTTAATATGAAATGAACAAAATATTTAAACAATGGTTAATAAAAAAAAATATTGCTATTGGTACTTAATTATCTAGCACTTGGTTTTTGCCTTTATGCACTGCACTTCTTTACCACGTTAACATGATGGAGGTTCATTGGGTCTGATACCAGGGTCGTTACTTCAGTCAGTTGTTACCCGACTGCGCCAGAAGGAGGGTTATGTTTTTCGAGTGTATTGTATGTATGTATGTATATTTCTTTGGCACGGGCCTACAGTTTAAACGGCTTAACCGATTTTAGCGTGAGAGGTGTCGTTAGATTCGTCTTATTTATTTATTGTTACAACCCACACAATGGAAGAAGACAGGTAGAATGTAAATGCAACAAGGAAGAAAGAAAATTAAGTTAAGTTTTACCACAAGATTAGCCCTCGTTTTCAAAGCAATTTTTTTTGTAATGATTTTCGTCTTTCGAACTTCATTAACAATACGTAATTATTCAGAATCAAAATGTCAATTAATAATAGCACAAATAAGTGTCATTGACTCATTGAATACATTTTCAGAATCTGAGCAATAGTTTCTGTTAATTTATATTCGTACATTAATAATAACACCTACAAACAACTTGTTATCCTCGTTTAAAAGCTGCCACAATTCGCTTATTCTTATTTGTACGTAAATAAACCAAATAATATTTTCCTGTTAATTTTACTTTTTCATGTGTTCAAACATAAACAACGCGAAGTCCTAACAAACTGATTTTAGTAGTTAGATAGATACTCTTTACTGCACAAAAAGAGATACTTTTATTGAAAAACAAAACAGAATGAAGATGAGTCTATAATAAAAAATGTCAGTAATTTATTAAAAGTTGGTTACCCCTTTGAATTATCTCATCCTACTAATATTATAAATGCGAAAGTTTGGATGTCTGAATGGATGTTTGTTACTCTTTCAAGCAAAAACTACTGAACGGATTTTGATGAAACTTTACAGTATTATTGTTTATAACCCAGATTAACATATAGGCTATAATTTATGACGATATGTGACAAACTAAATTTCACGCGGGTGAAGCCGCGCGCGGGCAAAAGCTGTATCAAATATGGCAGCTCATATTGTCATGGGCTTGTAAGTGCTAATATGTGTCAAAATAAAGTCTTACTAGTCGCTCAAGGTCTAACGTTACACCAAGCCTTTAGTGTTTTTAATAGATTGTGCCTGTTAAAATTATTCTAAGAAACAAGTAAACCTTGAGTTAGTTTGGAAGAGAGTTACCTACATGAAATTGGTACTAGCTAAAACGTGCTGAAACTGATGAATCTTATCATCATTCATTAACCTAACACCAAATAAAAATCCCATGAAGGCATTTTGAACTTGGTTTCTTAACTGTAAAGTTCCAAAATCGATTGATGATGATATTTTAGAACGATGTGCTGTACTCAACACAACTATAATACCTACATTCTACACTACAAAATAGCATTCTCGTGGAAAAGTAGGTACATGATAGATAACGAGAACGTTTCCTGGTACATTATTAAATTCATTGAATCGGTTATAAAAATAATAACTATTACAAAATCGATTGTTTTGTCTCGCTACATAGTTTTTTTAACGTAGGTATACTACTTACACACTAAATAGATATTTAAGGTACATGTGTATTTCAATATTTAGTTTTCCTTTGTCTTGACTGCTACCATGATTAATAGTAGGGACCAGAAATACAACCAAGGAAACGCTACTAAAAGTAAACACTACTAAAATACTGTGTGATTTTTCTAAAACCGCAAAGTGTAGTGAACTGAAGAATGTAGGCAGCATTACCAATCGAACCGAGTACAGCGGTTTATCTCATTTGTACAGTCGTCAACACATAAAACTATAAATTTTGTTACGAAATACGTAGCATGCATGGGGAGTTTCTGTATAGTCGTCAAATAAATAAAGTGTCAAGTGAAATTCAGATGACTGAGTTTCTATCGAGATTTCTTCCCAGCACCAGCCCTTAAGTTGTCCCTAAGTGGTGGTAGGGCAAGCTATAAACCAATGGTTCCCAAACTTATTTAGTCTACTGCCCACTTTGAGAATAAATTATTTTTTTGCGCCCCCCATTTTTGTAGTCAAGAGTCGAGCTCAGTCGATGTCTAAGAGTCCTCCTAGTAGATGACGCCTCCCAAGCCCCTACACAACGTCCCGGTTTTTTTTCTGGATCTCTTACCGCCCCCCTTTAAGCCTGCAGCGCCCACAAGGGGGCGTTATCGCCCACTTTGGGAATGACTGCTATAAGCTATAATAAACATTACTGGGGAGTTACTAAGTAGTCGTCAAATAGTAAAGTTTTAAGTGAAAATAAGATTGACTGAGTTTCTTCCGCCACTTCTTCTCAATACCAGCTCATAAGTTGTTCCGAAGTGGTGGTAGGGCAAGCTATTATTTGGAACGTGTATAGCGCCAGAAAGGGCCAAAGTAGGTACTGATTAATGATTTGATTTGATGAAAAGACACGTGATGTCACTGATGACTATGAAATGATGAAATTACGTTTTTGTAATTAATTATGCAAGACGTAACTAACTGAACACAATACTGTGATATTATTTGATGATAGCTATAAAATATTAAGCAAACTCGTCTGTTTCTATCTCATTAGTAAATCACTTAATTACTTAGGTAATGGCGCTGTATTCCTAATTTTTTATGAAAAGTATTTAGTTATGAAAAGTTCCAAGTTTATTCTGTGGGCGGGACTTCAAAGCCGTCTTCGCACATCTTTATTATAACTTGTGATCTTAAACATCAATTCAGTATACAAATAAATATAGGTACAAATAAATCGGTCCACCCACGAGATGGACCAACGACCTCATAAAGCAGGAAGGAGCTGGATGCAGGCCGCTACCAACGGGTCATTACGGAAAACATTGGGGGAGGCAGGAGCAGTGGACGTCCTATGACTGAAATTAATGATGATGATGTTACAAAACAAAAGCACAATTTCGAATATCGGGCATATAAATTACCATCGACTGTACTAAATCCATAATCCCATAAATCATAAGTAGCTGTCGATTACCCCAGTGGGTAGAGGCGTCGACCGCGGTTAATTTTAACTTTTTAACCCACATCCGAGCCGGGTTCAACGACCTGCGTCATATGTTTATTGTTTACGATACATTATCTAGTACGCCTCGACACCTATGTACCGGTTACACGACGCAATTTACAATTTAATTAACCCCAATTGATAATTTAGTATTAAGGAAATAAGAGTTAAAATAGTACCTAACTAACTGCATACTACATACTACCTACTTAGGGAAAATCATAACAGGTACCTACTGAACAAAAAATTTTTATTGAACTTTCTTTTGTCAGTGACAATGAGACCGATAATGACCGATTATGGTAGCACATTAATCTACATGGGTAAAATTGTTATATTTTATGGTTACCTAAAAGAAAACATATCATTTAATAATGGGATCTACTTCTTCTTTCTTTTTTCCTGTATCACCCTGTGCACCCTGTGAGACCTCATAGTAATGTTAGTGAATGAATACGGGCGCAAATAACACTAGATGTGAAGCGATAACGCCGAGTAGTGCTTAGGTGCTAGTTGTGGTAACCTTGATTGAGCACAATCGCTGGAAAAACAAAGCGATACCGTTTCGGTTATACCAGTTACCAAAACATTTGCATAATGATCTTATCTGTTTACGCTTTAGCAATAACATTTACTTGAAACATGCCAAAACGCAATGGAACGAAGCATGGTGGGGAAGAGACTTTCTGATAGAGTACGAACCACCATCATAAAGAATTGTACAAGAACAAAAGATGTAACAGTAACTATCAGAAAGTTGAAATGGAGATGGACAGGACACACAGTTAGAGGAAAAGAGAAATGGTCTAAATCCATAATGAACTGGTTCACAAGGCATATTAAGCGAAAACGGGGAAGGCCACCAAGAAGATGGGTGGATGAAATAAAGGCCATAGCTGGAGGTAGATGGACAACAATTGCAGGAGATAGAGGAGAGTGGAAACAGTTGGAGGAGGCCTTTGCCAAAAAAGGCACACAGACAAGTGTCAATTAGAATAATATTATACTCAATCAATTTTAAACTGTGTATGTCGTGAATAAAGGCTAATATTATTAATAACATTTTCGGAGAGAAGATACTGACTAGGCATATCGCTTTTTGGCTTGGTTTCTTATCAAAGAAAAATGCCATCCACTGCTGGACAAAGGACCCCAATGGCGTCCAATGCAGAAGGATCCAAGTGCGTTCCGCGACTTTCACACCATCGTTGGTCCACCTAGTGGGATGCCTTCCTGTGCACTACATTTTCCGGTTCACGTTACGCACGTTTTGGGACTTTTAGAGTTCTTCCAGAATTCGTGCGTGCAATTTTTACAGCACAGTAGTTATATTTTACAGTAAGGGACCCCCCTCTTGTCATTCAAAACAATAGCTACGTCCGTATTTACGTATGTGGTGGTTCGAGATCTGCCTATTCCCGAAACACATCAAAACGTTCACGCAACGCTTCTTGCATAGACATTGCCAGTACCATCGCCGGCGAAAGTACGGCGCCCGAGTGAAAGTGCCGCGGAAGACTTTCTGTAGTTTCTGTCTACCCTTGCGACCAATATCCTGCTCGATCGGTGGTTATGTAACGCACTCACGAGCTGTTGTTGAACCCTCGATACATAATGTCTTCGGCTTATCTGCCTTGTGTTACACAAGCTGGTGCCTGCCTTTTGCAAAGTTTTTTGTCTCATGGAAAAAATACTGAATATATCATGTTTTCTTTGTTCAAGTAGTAAAAGTTCAAGATTTCGTCTGTCTCCAAACTAGTATTTATTAAAATCTGTGCAGCAAATCTATGAGTGCAAGTGTAACAATACAAAGATGTTTAGACTATTCAATGTTTGGACTTATTTCATTCCAAAAAAACAATAATGAAGTATTTGATACCAAGAAAAATATGATTTCATAATTATTATTAATAAAAAAAAATTAAAAGGGTTATCCCTTCAATATTTCATGATTTGATTAGTGATTACTTTCAGAATACAATGTGTACCTACAAGCTTAAAAGGCTTAAAGGCTCTATTGATTGATTTTAAAGTTAACCCTACAAAAAGTACACCTGGCTAGAAAAGAGATCTTACACACTTAATATTGGCCATGTTACAAATTTCTAGTGATTATTCTATTACTTCAACATAAACTTTTCTGCAGTATAACTACCAAAAAACACTGTAATGTAAACATCTTTATGGTCTTATTTATTAACAACATAAGAGGCTCAAATCTCAGATGGGGTGATTAAATAAAAATAGTTATTAAATGACTAGTGTCCGTTCCTAGTTTAAATACAGACCACAGGGCACAGGTGATAAGCTTATGCCCCTTTTCACCATCAATCCCTAATTTTTAAGTGACCCCTATGTAAACAAAATTCCTGTTACTTGTTACTATAGGGGTCACTTAAAAACTAGGGATTCATAGTGAAAATGGGCATAAGTGGTTTATTAAAACCTAAATGAAATAAGTGTCAAGACCTTAGTAATCGACTCTTGAAGTCAACCTAATAAAGAATTATTTAGTAATCCAGGGTGTGGTGGAAGTGATCCAGGGAAAAGCATTCAGTCCGCCTTATGTACAGTGTTCTATGTGCATATAAGTTTGAAATAAATAAATGGTAGCTTGTGGTTCCAGGTTCCTTTGGTTGTGGTGTGATCATTGCATTAAAGATGTATTGAGCTAATATAAAAACACCGGCGGTACCTATAGCCTGTCATAGCAATTACATGTAGAATATAACTAGTAGCTCACAATTTTACTTTTGTTTGTGCCAATTAATAAAGTACTATAGTAAGTAATTAAACAATAAAGTAAATGTATGGTCTTTTAGTTCCATAATCAGCTACAGACATCTAACATTCATAAAGGAAAATAAAAATTATAACATCCATCTTGAGTTTGTTGATCGTCGACATCCATGTTAGACAAGGTATACTTTTTGACCGACTTCATTGCAGTCTATTTACAGATAGAAATTCTAATTGGAAATTAATTGGTCTCAGAATTCCAAAACAACATAACAGTGCAGGTATTGTAATTTGATATGAAACCTCATTAGGTTGATTGTTATGAATGCAGTTATGAATGAGAAAGGTTCTAGCCCCAGTTCAACTTGAATTTTGCATGCAGTGTCTATTGCTTTGCAACTTGAAAACATTCTAATGACTACACAAGTGTGCTAGTCAAACATGAATGGCGAAGGCGTAAAAGTAATGCGCATTATAAGCAAGTAGGTAATGATATTCTACACGTACCGGTCGCATAAAAACGTTGCAATGTCCACGACTAGCCAGCATGGCTCACAGCGTTTATACCACAATCAAAACACCCGATGCTTCACCGAACTACACACACCTCGCAATTGTTGACTGCTTCACCACTTCACAGCACACACCTGTTATCGACCGCACCAACAGGGAATCTTACCCTTCGGGTAGCACGACACTTAGAAATTCACCAAAATACAAATCCAATTAAATATTTTGCCACACAACGTACACAAATAAAACACCTCCGTAAAAGCTACCTACTTGCGAAACCGATCTGTCAATCTACGTCAAATAATTTCGATAAAACCTAAACAAACGCGATCTCACATGCGTGTCAGGACGCAGGATATTGAACAAAACGCATGAAATCGAATAACACTTTTCCTAACAAATTGTTTTTTATGGTTTACGAGTTATTTCTCAAAAATCAGACACTCGACACACACAGCAACCACCTATCACGCGAGTTTATCGAAAACTGAATGACAGGCAAAGAAAAAGAGACTGTTTTGCTCTGTGGTTTTGCTAATACCAACATAATGAAACGTAATGTCAAAGATAATGTTGCCCGCATATTTTTTAAATAATCTACCTATTTAGTTATTTTATTTCTTCTTTCGAATGTGCGGTACATTATTATGTTACACGACCATCGCGGCATAATATGCTTTTGGCACAAGTGTGCGTGAATACGTACTTTTTATATTGATTTCTGCAGGATTAAAGTGTCTAAGTTATTTACTTTAGCCTCTCATAGTGTATTTATTTGTAACTTAGACGTTATGATGACCATGGACAGTATCACCTCGCACAAATAATAATAAATTAATTTATAAAAATTAAAAACTGAAAGGGATAAAAAGAAAACACAAAACAAACCAAATAGCTACCAAATTGTATTTTTTTTTTGTATGTTGGATCAATGTCAATGCGCCCGAGGACCCGCACTTTTACCACAGCTTTTACAGTACATTGGATACTGGATAGATGGCAGTAAAGCCTATATTCAAAGTTTCTGATCGTGCGCGGTTCTGAATTTCTTGAGGAATTTCTGAAGCAAAATATTTTTAATTTTGATCTGTTTATTCACATAAAATAAGCTGATGTTAACTATCATCCAGTCGTGATCCAGTGTTCCAGATAGCTTCAATCGCGCGTAAAAGTGATTAGTTTTATTTAAAATAAAAGGGAATGTAAGTAGAAATGAAATAATACACAAATATTCATTTTGGATATTTTAAAATTTTAATATCAAGTACTAAACTGAAAATGTTTTGAATTGGCTAAATTGAGTACGATCAATTGCCTATCTAATTTCTTTCCAATAACATGTAATGGTTTTGACAACAATCAATGTTATTATGTAAAATATGCGCTTATTATACGTGACTATAGAGACCTAATGAAACATATTACATTTTAGGAATATTTACACTACAGGATCGCATGACAAATTACCCTACAATATTGTAACCTAATGAAATTATCACTAACAAATTAGGTAAGTAATAATTAGCAATACAACAAATCTACATAAAAATTTTACTCCCTGACTTGACATTATAATTAGTAAATCTTGAGAATTGAAAAACCAGGAACCATTATTGCTTTACAACAGCGACTTTATCCAAGTTACCAACATCTGACACATAAAACACTAAATAATCCCCTACTGTACAAATAAGATCAATAAATAACTAAACAAATATTTCTATCACTTCCAAGTTCCACTCGTATTCGCGGTTACAATGTATGACATTGCAAGCATCAAATAACATTACCAGATATTATAATCAGTCTTACATTTTATTCAGGAGAAGTATACTTCCGGGCAGACTAAAGGGACCAAGTCGAGATCTGACATCAACCGCTCGAACGGCGAAATAATATTTGAACCCTGCCATGAACTGAGTCAACGTGCACGCCATGGGTAACGGCAAGGCTTTCACATCGCCAATTTTTTTCCATAAAGCTGTACTTGGTGGCGAACTCGTCTCTTGGTAAGCGTACAGTTGGTAGCTAGCTATTTCCTCGTAACTGTCTACTTGATAGCCCTCGATCTTCCATGAGATGACTATTCCATTTTCAACTTTGGACAATTTCAGATCAGGCGCTGGTGGGAGCGCTTTCCAATTGGGCGGTTGGTACTGCTTCATGGCGTCGGGCAACGGCGCAGGGTGCCTGGTCTGGACTCGGGTTCTAACCACATTTGGCGCTGGCGCTCTTGTTAAATTTGGTATATTACATCTTTGCCTTGGACCTGAAACATTAGTTAGAATCAATCAAACATAGTACCACATTATTTTTGACATAAGAATAATGTCATGAAGTCATTTGTTTAATCATAAAATATTATAAATGTAACTTACCTGGTGCAGGCACAGATTTCAACATGATAGTTTGTCCAGGCCGGATTTGTCCTTGAGGCCCACTAATAGGTATGTACACTTTTCTGGGACTGTTGATAGATTGGTTCAATTGTGGTCTCGACGCCAGTAGATTCTGAGGGGAAACCAGTCTGACAGGGGGCGCGGGGGAGCTTCTAGGCGTCACCTTGGCAGGGGGCTCATCATCAGTCAAGTCGACCGTGACGGACTGTACCCGGTTGTGTGGTCTCTTCTCGGCCTTTTGAACTGGCGGCGACATCCTTGCTCCGTTCGGAAATTGAGGTTTAACGGGACTGCTCTGCGCTATCGGACTTTTTGCCACTGGATTAGCAGCAGCTGGAACAAGACGCGGCACTGGTATTGGCTGAGTGCTGGCTGGCTTCTGTGGTCGAAGACTTGGAGTCGGAGTTCTAGGATTCCTATTGGGAGTCGGTGGTGGCGGCTGGGTGGTGTTGCTGTTAGGAGGCTTCTTTTTTCCACCTTGACTTTTTTCAGTCATCAACACTTGCATACCCACAGATCTAGTAATTTTCAATGGAGTGATAGCAGAACCAGGCCTCTTTTTTTGTTCTTCTTGAATAGATTTTAGAACAAGTTGGAGATCTCTATTCTGCTTGCAAAGCATTAGCGATTTTTTCTTGTACTCGTCAATGCTCTGGCTCATTGATTTCAACATTCTTTTTATTTCGCCCATATTGCTTCTGTCCACAATGCTCTCCACAATTTTCGCAACACAAAATTCTTCCAATTCATCTCTTGTCATGTCAGCCAAGTTTTTCTTACAAGATTTTAGGAAATTTTCAGGTAGCAGAGGTTTAGCCGGTTTTTTGTCTTCTACATTTGGTTCTGTGATTGATTCACTCACATCCAGCTCTTTGCTTGGGGCTTTGACTTCAGAAATAGGTTCAGTCGCATCTGAAAAAATAAAACAATTCGTTATTAGAAAAGTGTAATTACAAATTGTAAGTTTTTATTTGAACTTGATTACCATTACATACCTTTTTGAACCTCGTCAACGACATCTTCAATTTTAGTTGTTTCAATACTTTCTCCATTTTCTAAATCAATTGTACATTCCGTTGGTTTATCTTCTTTTGTTACTTCTGTTTCCATAGGCTGAGCCGACTCAGCTTTGGTGTCCTTACTAACTTCTGTGTCATCTATTAGCATGATATCGTCGTCATCTTCGATGTTAATGCATTGCTTCTCCATTGGTGTTGTTTCAGCTGTCTTTTGATCTTTCGCAGGTTCTTTTGGAGCTTGTGGAGCTAGGTCTTCATCATCATCAGATAGAATATCCAGTGTGTTGGAAAGCTTCAAGACTGTAGATTTTTTAGTTTCCTCTGCTTTTACTGTTTGTGTTACGTCATCGCTCTCATTAATCTTTTGTGGTTGCTCGTCAACTTTTGATACCTCCTTAATTTCATCTACATCCAATACTTCGACTTTCTCATCCAAGCCTTGAACTATTTCATCCACTACATCGCAGTCAATTTTAACTGACTCATTTTCAGTGCTCTCTTTTGCGACAGTGACAGAAGAATCCGCATCTTTTATAATTTTGTCATTCTCAGCAACTATCTCGGAAACACTTTTAACCACTTTTTCTGGTTCAGTAGCAACATCATTCACAGTTTCTTTGCTACTTTCTAACACTTCACTGTCTTGTTCTGAATCAATTTGGATAACATCATCGTCAATTTGGACTTCATCAACCTTCGTATTGGCCGCTACTGAGGCTACAGGTTCTGGTGTATCGTCGGGCTTTTCAATATCAGCATTCGTCTCAACTTCTTTACTTATTTCTGGGACTTCATTGCTAGTTTTCTCGTCGACTACTTCGGGCACAGTTTCACTTTTTTCTGATTCAACTACCAATTTATCATCCGATGCTTTTTTATTGTCTTTAGCTGTATTAAGATCTACTATATTTTTAGGCGAAACTGCAACATCACACTTTGATTCAGCTTGCACCACACTGGAAGTGTCATCTTTCTTTAAAGAAACATTATCTGACTCATCTTCATTAATTAAAATGTCATCTTCAGATACATTTTCATCAGGGCTAATATTATCTAAGATATCATCATCAATTTGCATTTTCATCTCTGAAATAGTTTTGTCCACTTCTAGCGCCATCTCAGAGATGTCCTCATCAACGTCATCTAATATTTCAGAGGTCTTAGTTTCAATGATTTTAACTGAATCATCCGAATTAATTGTTTCAGCATCATTATTGACACTGTCCACTTTCATTTCAGTCTCTAAAACATCTAATGCTTTTTGTAATTCGACATCATTTTCCAATTTGACACATTCAGCATCCTCAACTGTTTCTTTTTTACTACTTAAGCTAATATCTTCAACTTCTTCTTTATCAAAACCATTAACTATTATATTATCCTCCTCAGTATCCATTTTTACTGGTGCACAATTTTCTTCACACTTTTGTTTATCACCATTAAAATTATCCTCAGTTGTTATGCCATTGCTATGGCTTTTTTCATAAGAATTTACATTGTTCTCTCCTTTCTCTTCAGTTTTTAAATCTAAATCACCATTTTCTGGACTTGTTTTTTCAGTAGTAGAAGCTACTTCAGGCTGTTCATTATTTGTTTCTAATTCTGATGAAGTATTTTTGGCAGTAGATGGCAGTTCTGGCAGATCTTCAGAGTTTTCTTTAAGCTCCTCATCATGAGTATCTGGTTCACTTGTTATAATGTTTTTCTGGCCCTCAATATTTTCCTTGTTTCCATTACAAATGTCGTTTTTAAGGCTTTCAATGGAATCTTTAAGGGTTGTATCCAAGGACTCCTCAATAGTAGCCATTTTCAAATTTATGTCTGCACTGGTTTCAGTTTCTAATATCAATTGCATTGTATATTTTAGTCGTCTTCATTGGAGATGGAGAAAAATCTGAAAAAATAAGAGAAAAAAAATGTTACACAATAGTTGAAAAATATTTTTATTACTTAGAAGATAATTAGTAAAGTAAGATTACAGATATTCTGCTTCATCCATTGATAGAGATTGTATACAATTGGACAATAAAAAACATATACAACACTTAGAAATCATGAATAAAAAACCTAGCTATTCATAAAGTA